AAAGACGCACCGTTCATCCTTATATTTATTCTACAGCTTACTCAAGACTGAGGAATAAATTAAACGATCCTCTTGAAAGTATTAGCTGCGAGAAGTAAAGAATGTTTTGATAACCGAAAAGAGTATTTCAAAACGGTAACGGACACTTAGTCGACAACTAATTAGCCGACGAGATCCTTAGCTGGCAGCAACAGTCGTCAGGACATATAACCGGCACCGAGCTTCAGCCGACAGCACATTTAGACGACAGGACAGTTTTAGCCGACCAGGGCATTTAGCCAACAGTACATTTAACCGACACAGGCATTTAGACGACAGGTTATGTAATCGACAAAATGTTTAACATACAGCACGTTTAGCTTACAAAGCGTGTATGTAGACAAAAGACATACGCCAATGTTTTAGTAAAATGTGTTCTTGTTTATCTGGGAAAAAAAGGCTATTTCAGGGTACTTGACGAAAAGGTTTATGAACAAGTACCATATTTTTATCTAATTTAATGTTAAAGAGGCTATGGCTTTTAAAATTGAACACAAAAACAACCTTATTTTGGCGTAGATATTGAAATAAATTTCTACATATATAGAACTCTATATTTCATACATAGAACAGACATAGAACTCTATATTTCAGAGGTGAAAAAGAAAATTTCAGCAGTCCAAAGAATGAAACTGTTTCACGTGGAAAGAATCAATGGAACAAAGCGAACACAAACTTAATGTAAATTGGATTTCTTTGAACTCTTTCACATAAACAAAAAATTTCTTCTTTAAAAATTACATGAATATTTCATCGCTTTCAAAATTCTATATCTAAACTTTTTCAAATTTCATTATTATTTTATTATTAACAAATCACGTTATATTTGATTTCGCTTTGCTCCAATCATTTCTTCAAATATACAATCGTTTGTCTCTTCCGACTGCTGAAATTTTCTATTCCACTTCTGAAATATAGAGACCGAGTCCACCAGTCGCCAAGCGGTAAAGTCAGTGATCACTTGTAAATCGGTCCGAGACTCGAGTTCCGGCAGACGAGATGGTTGCATGGGCGCTTTCGTGGCTTTTCCCATGCGTAACGTGCATGTGAGCCAATTTGTTTTTGAAAGTCCTTCCCGAAGGCATTCCTTCCCATAGGCAGATAACCTTGAGTGCTTTGTCATAATCAAATAAAACAAATCAATCCGAAATATAGAGACCTATATCTGATTATCTGCAAAATTGATTTTGAACCTTATTCTGAAATAAGGTTGATTTTGTGTTTAATTTTAAAAGCCAGAATTTCTTTAACATTAAAGTACAAAATATGGCACTTATTCGTAAACCTTCTCGTTGGTACTCTGGAAATAGCCCTTTTTCTAGATAAACATGAACAAACTTGACTAAAACATTGCGACACATTTTTTTTTATCTAGATGGATGTGTTCTCACTAAACGTGCTGGCAGCTGAATGTCCGTGTCGGTTAAATGACCTGTCGGCTATACATCTCTGACGCCTAAATGTCGTGTCCGCTATGTCTCTTAAATGTCCTGTCAGCTAAATGTTTCTTTCGGCTAAATGTCCCGGTTAAATGTCCTGCCTGCTAAATGTCCGTGTCGACTAAGTGTCCTGTCGGTTGAATGTTCTTGTTGGCTAAATATCCTTAAGGCTAACTTCGGCTAAATGCCTTGTCGGTTAACAGCTGTCTGCTAAGGGTCACGGAGCCATTTGAAAATGCTTTCTATGGACCTAATTGGACCCACATGTTAAGTGGATTAGAAAAGCTAGTTTTACGTCTCGAAAGCCTTCAAACTATATATCATATTTCAAAATTAACAGTCCCTGAGTAACTGTCAAGAAGTCCTCAAAAGGTGCAGACAGATGTTTTTCTGCTCACAATCACGAGGTAGAAAAACAAAGATCAGGTGTGCAATCTGTAATAACTATATTTGCCTAGAGCATCAGAAAAGTTTTTTCAAATTGTATCTAAATTAAAATAAAAAGTAAAAACAACATGTTCTATTTTAAATATTTTGTTAAGTTTTAGAAGTGTTTATTTAAAATAAAAATCTTCAAAACAATTATTTTGTATTTTTTGTTTGGAGTGCTGCTATACGCCAGTGCCACATTACAATCAAGGAAATAAGTGTAACATTTCAAGATTAACTATAATTTTCGTCTGAGGAAAGCTGAGAAGTCAACCTATCTTCGCTGTTCCGGCGAACACAGCTGCATCGAAGTTATGTCCAGAATTCCCTCAGTCGCAGGAAATCAAGGTTTCATGCCAGAAGTTCGAAAGACAAAAACCTGTGTTCAAGCGCTTATAATGGATTCAGCCGCAAAACCCTCCGAGAAGAGAACTGACAGGAGAAATGACCGAGAAGGAAATGCAAGGTATTATCAGAGACAAAATGATAGAAAGATGTCTTTTGGAAGTCTTGCAACTCGTCTACGTTTACAAACAAGCTTGGACGTCTCTGCAAAACCTGAGTTGGGGATTCAGCGCCTTAGAAATTCTTGAAAGGTAGACAGCAGCAGTTTAAATTCTATACGATGACAGCTTGAGGTGCCATCTCACAAACAGATAATGAAATCTGTCCAGACTTCTCGTTGTCGGTAACAGGGACTTCCGTCATCATTCTTTTTTTAGGCTTTTAAACTTTGGTATTTTGCTAAAATAGCTATCTTTGGAATTTTGCTAAAATATTGTCGTACTAATTTCTTAATTCTCACTGATAGTACTTTGAAACAGAATACTTCTCGATGTAGGTAGGATATCAAGCATATACTCCAAGGTAGCAGCATTACGCTGAAGAAAACTTAGAAAAAAGTGAAATCATAGTTAGCTTCCATTCTGATGCATCTTTTAAATTCAAAGGAAATTCTTCTAGAAGACGCACTGAAATGGAAATCAGTACATAGCAGCTTTATTGACTAACTTATCCTACCTTCCTAAATAGACGAAATTTATTCGATTAATAAATACTTAGAAAATCTATAACTGTGAGGCAGTTCGATGTATGGAATAGGCAGTACATTCCGGAATCACATTGATGGGTTTATTTATTTTTTTTCCTTAATTCGGAGAAAGACGCATATGCTTTCAAATCTTTTGCAGCATTGTGGAATTTATACTTTTACCTGTCAGACAGGTAAAAGAATGAATAGTGTTAAAAGATTCTGTTGAAAGAAACGTTTGAACAGTTAACTATATGTAATCCATATGAATAATACATTTGTGAATTCGTGCATGATGAACAGTATAAAATTAAAGGAGATACATAGGTTTAAAGAATAAAAACTATGCTCTAGGGTGTGATGCAAAAGCGTATAATGGAATGTGTCAAGAATTATGGTGATTTACTTTCCATGCAAGATGATTTAAAAATATTATTCGATCTATGATTCCAGACAAACGCAGTAATTAATGTGTTTAACATAGTGTAATTAAGTTTAATATGAGTTCTGTAATTGAAGAATATAGGCATACCAACATGTTTACAATAACATGCTTATGCCACAAAATTTTTCTTTTTCCTTCTTGTTACTTTATGTCACCAGATAACTGATATTGTTTCATGAAAATATATGGTCCTTCTACTCGCGGGTTTTGCGGAAGGCTCCTACCCTGTTAGCAAAATGACTAAAATAAAAATAGGCCTGAAATTAGCAGCGCAATCTACTTACTGTTTTACTGTTGGTGAAAACCATCTGAAAACAATTGATGCGAATGCTGACAACCTGGAATAATTGAAACATAATTGTTTTGTGCCTCAGTGAACTGTGAACTTCAAAACATACCGAAAATCCGGAACTAAATTTCCATAAATTTCAAAAACTAAAGCGTAGGTTAAGAAGTCTTCCTTTTTCTTCTAAGGTTTTTGTTGCCCGAAGAAGGAAATGTATTACAGTTCTAAGGACTGAAAAATCAGTTTAATCAAAAATAGGTATGAGTTCGAAGCACTCCACTTCTGGTGATGATAATTTTCTATCAGGGGGTCGTCTTAGTGATGCCATACATGCAATGCATGCCTAAAGTGGCATGCGATTATTAAATTTTATTTAAACCTGGAAACTGGAATTTAAAACTGGAAAAAGGAGTTATTGTTATTTAACTGAATTGTATATTAAATCCTTATTACTAACCTTCCATTAAATTCTTGACTTTATGTAGAATCAGCAATTTAAATTTGGTGAATATGTGCATTTTATTATTTTGTATGTTTTGCGATGTTTAATAATATATTAATATGCAAATACTATAGACAAGATTCGATTGCATATAACTCAAGCTTACATTAATTAATATATATATATTAGTATTCAACATGCTGCCCTTGAAGAAAATTCAGGATGCACTGCTGTTATGTTAGTATATTTCATATTTTCGTTTTGTTATTTTAATATCCCGGTTTTCGGTTTAGTACTTAATAAACGCTTTCATTCGGAAGGTTATAAATTCAGTTTATGGAAAGTACAGAAGATGTCAGTTTTAAGGATCATTGTACTCTTCTAGTACTGTCACACAGAGTCGTAGCTAGGGTTTTCAGCGCCCAGGGACAACTGAAGATTTCTCGCCCCTACTGCTTGCCAAGGATGGAAAACATTTAATTCTAAAATGTCGTAACATCAGTTTGGCGCCCCTTGGATTCTGCGCCCGGGGACAGATGCCACCCTTGCCCCTCTCTAGCTACGCCCCTGCTGTCACAAGATGTTTTGTTGCGTAAAATATTATACCTGTAATCTGTGTAGAAAAATTAAGAACAGAAATAATGCAAAAGTAAAGTGATATAAAACTTTAAACAATATTTTCTTAGCTTGTTGAAATCTGCACTCGTTAGTGTAGTTCCTTACGAAGAGTTAAAATAACTGGAACTCCTAAGCCTACTTTTAGCTCCGGTTTATTCCACGTCGCAGACGAATTTGATGCATCACTCAATAATTTAAAATGCATATTCTTTCAGCATGGTGGTTAAAAGGCCTGTCCCCTTCTTTCAACCTGCATTATTTCCTGCTTCTGCGTGTGGCATCAGTTGTGAAGGCCGGAGTGTGCTTCCTCCATAAAGTGATTCTGGAACGTGAAATGATATAGAACTTTTGTGGGTTACATCTAATTTCTGTTAGTTGAAATATGTCTCAACAACTGAAAGATTTTGCTAGCCGTCTTCCCAAAGGTGGCGGTGGACTAGGCACTGGTTTAAAACTTTTAGTTGCTGCTGGAGGTTTAGCGTACGGATTAGCTCAGTCCGTTTATACCGGTAGTTATTAGGCTTAAAGTATTGAGTTTTTTCATAAATGTGTATCTTGTATAAATTTTACAGTCGTCTGTTTGTATCATATATGTAAAAAAGTCCCTTCAATTTCTAAAATATTTTCTGTATAGAGTAAATGTAATATTTATAAATGGAATTTAATTGTTTACACTATTTGAGTATAGAAAAAATGTAGTATTCGAATGGTTAATATTTCAATATGTATGTTAAAAAAGACAAAAAATATCCAATTTTATTGACCAGTGTTCGTAATAAATGAATTTATTTGTGCGAACACTGTTAAATTAAAGTTTACACTGCTAAATTAGCCATCGAAAGTGTAGAGCGAAAGTTAGGTAGGTGTAACATTACATCTTGTACAATGATGAAACTGCATTTCTTGTAGTGATGGATTATGTTTTTCACAATTGGTAATATTTCAGAAAGACTTCCGAAAAAGTAAAAACGTTTGAATTAAATAATTTATTTGATCATCAAAGGATCACTGATAATATTATGATATTACAAACAATAAGGTGTAAATTTATTTTGGGCAGAACATTTTAAAGTACAGTGTCTCACAAAAGTGATGGGACACTTGTGCTTTACAAAAGGATACTGTAATAAAATAAATTAAAAAAAACATGTAAGAAGAATTTTTGTGGGTGTGTTTCATACTTAAATTTAGTAACATTATTACATTTTTCAAAAATATTAAAATATTTAATTTAATAAAAATACAATTGTTTAGAACGGAGCAAAAAAATGGCTCACATAAGTGATGGGACACCATTAGATACTACTACGTAATACAATAAAAAATATTTTTTGGGGTTTTTTTATTTTTACTCAAAAGCAATTGGCAATAATTTATAAAATCGTATGCAGTATTTCTCTCCAGTTTGTTTTGGAATTTTGTGTTTTTTTTAGCTCTGTGCAGCCATGAATGCTAAACGAAAAGAAACTTTGCCTGAAAGTTCGAAAATAGTTATTAATTTGCATATTGAACGTGGAAAATCTATAGAAAAAACTGCTGAAACAGTTAACTTGAGTCATTCAACAGTTTTCAATATCATTAAACGATATAAAAAGAATCATATGATTCAGGATAAAAGAAGACCTCTGGCCGACCATAAAAAGCTATCCAAATGGAATAAAGCGAATTATCGTTCGAAATATTAAAAAAAAATCCAAGAATGAGTGCTCCTAAGTTGCTGTCTGATTTACAAGCATTATATGGAGTAATTGTTAATCCTGAGACTATTAGAAGAGTAATTCGATCTGCTGGATATCACGGTTAGAGCAGCCAGGAAAAAATTCTTCGTGAGTGAAAAGAATAGAAAACTCAGACTGGCTTTCGCAAAATCCAATCATAAATAAGAATTCTGATTACTGGAATGAAGTTATATTTGCTGATGAGAGTAAATTTCATATATTTGGTTTCTGACGGTAGAATCTTGGTGTGGAGAAAACCGCAGGGAAGAATTTGGCAAACAGAACTTGGTGCCTAGCAGTAAAACATGGTGGAGGAGGAGTTATGGTATGGGGGTGTATGTCGTCCGCTGGAGTTGGTAAACTTTATTGACAGTTTTTATTGACATTTATTTATGATTTAATGATTTATTTGATTTTATTGACAGTCTAATGAATCAGGACAAGTATATTGACGTTTTAAATCAAAATTTGAAATCTTCAGCACGAAAAATTGAACCTTCATAACGATTTTTAAATTCTACCAGGACAATGACCCCAAGCACATTGCTTTGAACGTTAGACTCTGGCTGCTGTATAATTATCCTGAAATAATAAAAACACCACCACAATCTCCAGACTTAAATCCCATAGAGGATATTTGGCAAGAATTGGAATCAAGAATTCGCAAACACACCATTTCTTCAAAACAACAATTAAATTCGATGCTTCAAGAAGAATGGGGTAAAATCACTTCAGAAATCACCAAAAAAAAATTAGTCGAATCCATTTCAAGAAGATTAAATCATGTTTTAAAAGTAAAAGGAAATCCAACAAAATATTGAAACCTTTTAAAAAGTAAAATTTTTGGATAAATATTTGATGGAAAAGTAAGTGTCCCATCACTTATGTGAGCCATTTTTTGCTCCGTTCTAAACAATTATATTTTTATTAAATTATATTTTAATATTTTGAGAAAATGTGTTATGTAATATTCGTTACTAAATTTAAGTATGAAACACACCAACAAACAATTTTTACATGTTTTCTTAATTTATTTTACTACAGTTTCCTTCTGTAAAGCACTGTAGAAACATTAAGGTAAAATTCTAGTAAACAGTACAGCCTTGGCACGATTTTGAAAATTGTGGCCTACACCAAAATGACCCGTTTACTAATCATTATATATGCCGCGTTTAATGCTCATCATAAAGTAGTCAAAAATAACCAAATCCCCTGTGTACTGTATACTAGGATTAAACGCAGTTTAATTTAAAATAGCAGAAATGCCAAAGTTGTGTGTGAATGTGAAAACATGGATTTACCTCTGAAGCATAATAAAGTGTGTACAAGATGTACTTTCAATAAACAGGAAGACATACGATTACCTAGAGTGTGTATTTGAAGGAGGTAAACAATTTTGTTTAATCATAAATACTTAAACTGTGGGACTGTACTAAACATTAAGCGATTAATTATACTCTGAAAAGTGTATTTACATATTTTTTTTCCCACTAAAACTGAGTTTTGATGAAGAAGGGTAAATGTATTTACTAATGTGTCAATCAGCCAGAACTGTAGTAAAATACTATTAACACATTTAATATAACAAAATTGTGACAGTGTTTTGAGCCTATGATAAGCTATCAGAAATGGTGAGTAAAAATATTTAAATAAAAGATAAAAAATGAGCAGTTAAAATTAAATAAAATGTGAAACTCTGAGCATGTTAACTACTTAAATAAATAGAATAAATATATTATAAAAAATGGTGCTTTTCCGTTTTGTCAGGCGCAAACGATAAAGTCGTCCAATAATTGGTTTAACTGATGCCAAGACGGAAATATCTTTCGCTGGTAACCTTTTATGCCTCAGTTTCAAAACAAGTCATAGCCATTTCTTATCAGATTGTTTCTTTCAATACTGGCATGCAATTACATATAATTTTTACAACGATAGTTAAATTTTATCCGCCTAAGACAATTCACGGTAATTAAGTCAATTAAATGCAATCGCACAGCTCACCCGAAGGCGAAATCAAGTGTTAAATTCATCAATTCTAATGAGAATGCACTAGCGAAATTCTTGCATTTAAACTTGTATTCCAAATTAAGATTTAACTTGAAATTAATGTAGATAATTACTGAGCGAATTAGATTTTAGTAGCGTAGTTTACGTGAGATGAGATCACTTGGGGTCACGTGATACGAACCGGCGAATCAGGATTTTGAACCATGAAATCATAGTAAATTCTTAAATTAATGTCTTTTTACAAATTTATTGTCTTTATTTATTGGCTTTTTACAAAATTTTAAACCATATTATAATGTTTATGCCTTCAAAATAAAAAAAATTCTTAGAATTAACATTTTTTATGTGTATACTGTATGTTGTCGCCAACAAAGTCTGCTTAACGAGATTTGCGCCGGCGAAATGGAAAAGTACCTAAAAAATTAATGTATATTGAATGGTTTCAGAATTGCCTACAACAGAATAGTGTATGTATGTGGTAAATAGATAACTTCTAAGGTGATCTTGGCAGTTTGTTTTGGCAGGAAATATTTGCATTGTTTGAGAAAGAAACACTTAATCCACTGTAAAGTCACTCTTTTAAAAATCAAAACTGGAATAAAACTACTAAAGACAAAACCATAAGATCCGTGACCATTAATACACCGTAGGCGATGTGTGCTTCTGATGTTTTAAAGGGGAAAGTGTAAAACTGAGCTTGTGTAAAAAAAATATATATAAGTGCTACTTTGGTAGACGGTTGCACGGATTTTGGCGAGTTTTTGGCAATTTTTCCATTGGTGAGTAATACGACTTTAGGTAAACCCATTGCTGGATAAGTTATTTATGGTAACCAATACTTTGTTGACATTTTATTTAAAAAATAATGCGTGTTATTATGCATAAATTCCGTGTTTTAAATATTATTTATGGCTTCTAAATATTAAAAATCAATTTAATCTTGCATTTTTATTTGAAATAAAAATTTTATTTATCATATTTTATGAAATTTTATGCTGTGGATGATGTAATCAGTGACGTCACCTTACTTTAAAAGTAATTAATTGGTTTTAATATCTATAAATTTAATCTATGTTTTAAACATTATTATGGGTGTTAAATATTAAAATACAATTTAATTTGCATTTTTTTTAAAATGATTTTATTACGTATGATTATTTAAATAATTTTAATTCTAGGCATGATGTAATCAGCTCTCTGATCAGTTATAGAATATTTGTGCATTAACGAGCTGCAATCAGCTCCCTGATCGGTTAATGAAAATTTGTGCATTACCACGCCATTTTAAAATTGAATTCATAACGAATTCCTTTAAAAATGTCTCCTTCAAAGATGAATGTTGTTATTGGTAAAGTAGCAAGAATTATTGATATCAGGAATCAAAAAATTGTCCTTTGAGACTTTATTTTCACCAGCCTGGCTTTCCTAATCAAAGATTTATTTATAAATTCTTACGAGGGACAGAGGAAATTTATTTTAAATTTTTGAAGGAAACGTCGCTAATTTTCTTCAATGAAGTGCGAAAATGTGGATCACAGATGAAGACCGTTAGAAGAGCCGATTCTGAGACGGCCATATATGATATTGTGGTCATGTTGGAAGAAATAACCGCTGTAACGGTAAGAAAATTAGGTACTTTTCCGTTTTGCCGGCGCAAGCGATAAAGTCGCCAATAATGGTATAACCGATGCCAAACGGAATATTCTCGCTGGTAACCTTTTACGCCTCATTTTCAAAACAAGTCGCAGCTTTTTCCTATCAGATTGATTGTTTCTTTCAATACT